TGCTCTTTTTTTATCTTTATATACGTAAAAATTCTATTTTTCATTGACATTAGATGTTAATTTATGAAAAAAAAAATCTTCACACTAAAGAGATTTTTTTCGATTTTTTACTTCATTTATATCATGTAGAATTATCAAACTAGTATCAAAATATATGTCACAGGATAAATTAGAACTGAGAAAAAGCACAGAAGTGCACAAGATCCATCCACCAATTTCCCTTAATTCATACTTTATCTGATACAGAATTTTATGAGGAATAGTTTGGTAACAATATAATGTAGTTTCTAACAGACACAGGTCGATTTTTCCTCAAATTATTCATATTGACGTTCTTGCCATTCATGCATGACTCATACATGGAAAGGTGACTTATATCAACTTTCTCACATTAATACATTTCAAACTAAAACAGATGTTAGTCAACTATTCATTCTATAGTCTTTCTCTGATAAAAATTTCACCTTGAACGGTTGAAGTGTTACTATTATTGATGATAATGTTATTCAAAATCAGCATAGATATAATAATGCTAAGTTACCATTTGTGTTTACTGTTTGTTTAATACCTTGAGAAAGAAAAGAAAACAACATAGGTTTTTGATTGATTCTGAAAGTTCGTTGGAGAGACAACGAGACTGGTTACTTTTCCATTCTTTTTACAAGTGACTTTTGTTATAAAAAGACCACTGGCATTTCGTCTAGATACAGTTCTTTTGCATTTTTTCACTAGTCTTTAACAGATTTCAATTAGAAAAATATAGGCTGTGAGTCATAAGGAATAATAAATTTACAACCAGCATAAAATTTGAATCGACTTACACGTATTTCGAAATTTTTCGATGAAACTTTGTGTTTCTCGACAATATTCGGCTGAGATTCCTCTGAAGATTCAGTCAAAAACTGAGTTGAATGATAACACCGTTTGTATTCGTTAGTTGTGTGTTCTTTTATCTCATAGCGACATTTTACATAATCAGAACTTGTTTTCCATAGATCAAACGATTTTCCAATTAAAGTCATCTTTTGACTGGATTCTGAAAGGGTTCTCGACTGTATTTTTTGAGAAATAAATAAATTTCGAAACACATATAAAGCGACTCACTTTTTACGCAAATTTCAAATATGCTATTCATCGTGATTCAATACCTACTTTTCTCAATCAAGATCTATGAAGATGTCTAGACGAAATTCAAGTCATCTCTTTGAACAAAAGCTACTTCTACAACAATTGAAAAATATTTGATTTGGTTCTCCTTCCAACAACTTTTCAAAATCAATCAAAAACCTATGTTGTTTTTTTTTGCTTTCGCAAGGTATTACGAAAACAGTAAACACAAATGGTAACTTAGAATTATGATCTCCATGCTCATTTGAAATTACTTTGACGTCAGTACTCACTAACACTTTAACTGTTCGAGCTGAAATTTTTACCAGAGAAAGACTATAGAGTGGGTAGTCGATTGATATACATTCCAATGTAGAATGTCTTAATATGAGAGAGTAGTTATACAAGTTACTTTTCCATGTATGAATCAAAACACTTCAGGAATCACATCATTATGTTACTAAAAAATTTCTCATGAAACTCTACATTACGTAAACTATGAATCGAGACGAATTAAGGATGGCCGTAAAGTGATCCTTCTGCAATCAGAATGAAATAAGAAATATACATTTAAAATAAATATTGAGCGCATTACATAGGTAGATATTCTCATATCACGTTCTTATAACCATAGAATATTTTTATAAGTTACTTGTTAATTATACCTAATGTTTAAATCATTAGTTTTAAGATTAGTTTTCCAGAAGACAGTCATGATATGTTGATAGCATTTTGGTTCTCCAAAATGGTTGGAGAGGTTCTCAGCTCAAATTCTGAGTGCATAAAAATTAATCAAAGACGGTGTCAGCGTGGGTGTGTTTGACATGCAGATCAGCACACCCACACTCAGGTGGTACAAATTTTAATTTCTCCTGAAACATATATGTTGTTATTATAATTCTGATGTTTGAAATCACTAGCATGAAGATGGAAACATAAATAGTCGATTATTGAAACGAAGGTGACACTAACAGTCGATTGTTAAGGTGATGTGAGGGTTGTGTGGGTAGGTGTGTTCCTTTCACTCTTACCTACACATACACACGAAAAATAAATATACATAAAATATTACATGTTGCCAAAACCAGCTTAGGTTTGACAATTAATTGGTGACTTTGCAACCAACTTTAACAGGTAAATATTTATTCACAAAAATTATACACATTTATTGTTTTAACTAAATTAATATCAAAAATTCAATGAACAGTAAATACTATTGTACCAAGAAAACTGTTAATTTTTATTGTTTATGGTATATAAAGAAGGATAAAATTATCTCTTTCCTTATTTGTGAGAAACGTTTTTGGAGACGATGACACAAAAAACAGTAGTACACCCGTCGAGACAGGCGTAGTTCTAGAGCAAAGTATCACAACTACTGATTACAGATCAATTGGATGAAATCTGAAATCTCAAGAAAAGTCTTCTAACTCTCGATTAAAACAAGCTAGAAATGACACTTTTGTGTAGATCGAAAGGGGAATAGACCCAGAATATCGTTTTTGAAAAGCCTCAACCAAGAATTGCCTTGATCGGTCAATTGCTCGCCAATACAATTTCGATACACTTCGATGGCTCCGAGTCTTCTCTCTTGAATGGTAAAAATCGCAGACCTCTATGATGTTCCTATCAAAAATTATATAAAAAAGCAGTGAAGCACATGATATTTTGAGATACATGATAGATCTGATCACTGTAAATGTCGTATAGAAGGTGCGACCGCCCGGTAAACATATAACAATAGAAATGAGCGCAGAGCGACCACCGAAAAAATAAGTTATACATGCTGTTGATGACGGATTTCTTACACGAACAGTGTCTATCTCTATCAAATATGTTACGAATAAGTTGACATTAATTTTTACCTAAATCATTTTGTTCTTACTATTTGTCTTTCTAATATATTAAAGAACAGTACACTTGAATATTATTTTTTTATTATGTTTACTAACCGCTTTAATAATAAAGTTGATCCATCACTCTTCAATAGTTATATACCATAGAAAGAATATGTAGACACACACATATATATATGGATAGTGAGATGCAAAAAAACGCATATGCGAAGGCGTATATTTACTATGTTATACTAATTTATCTTTTTTGTATAGTTAGAATAATGTAAGAAAGCAAAATTTGGAACGTTTGACATATCTGTGTGTCGATCTGACAGGCGATAGTAGATCAAACTATTTACGAATATACGTAAGTATTGACTAAGTTATGCATATATACTAATTAAAAGTGTTATAGATAAATCCACCCACATAACTACGTAGTAGTTATTATTGTAATTTTTAAAATATTTTTTTTGTGGAAATGTTTTTAACGAAAGACAACCAAACAAGCGCGAGTTTTATGAAATTGATGAGAATATTTGAAGTGTATAATACGATGTAAAATCAATTGAGAAATTAAATTAATCAGATAAATGTATTTATTTTCAAGAGATCAGCGAGTTTATTTTTTGGTTGTTAGTTAATAGCTATGTATTATGAAAATAAACTAGGAATAGATCTGTGACATGTGTTATGTTAGATCGAATACATGATTAGTTTAAAATACATCATTTTCTGATGGATTTCGTCAGATAATAAGATATTTATGAATTAATTCTACTCGTAAAATTATAAAAACCTTATTATAAGAATTGATTTCAATATAATATTTTCAACACATTTAGTTCATACTCGATCAAGATAAAATTTTTTGACGAAAAAAAAAATCAGTTTTTCTGTTAACAGCTGATGGAAATTTTTATGATGAAATAAACATCGATTTTTTTTAATATTTAATGATGCCGACAGAAATACTTTTAACTATTCAATTAAAATTTTTATTAAGGTGATCGTATCATAAAGTTCAAATAAAGGATTTATAGATATTTGAGGAACTGTGTTCAATGTTTATGTTTAGGAAATCGTTTAAGATGTCTATTTTCTATTAAAATAAAGATAATAAATTAACTATTCATAGTTATAATTCTGTTGTAAGCATTAAGTCAAATATATTTCAATGATTGAATCATTAACCATTATATTAATTAGGTAAATCTTATGACAAACATGTCGATAGTTTATTTTTCTGTTAATTATCAATCAGTTCGCACAGTAAGAATAAATAACAATAGAAAATGTTTGTATTTCATTTTCTCTAATTTTGTACGAGACCAAACTTTGAAAGTTTGTTAGAATCGGGACCATGAGAAATAAATTATTACTAAGGATTGCGGTTAAAAATTCTAAAATTTAAGAGAATTAACTTATAAATTATCAATCAGAATATAATTCAAGAGAATTGACACAAAAAAAGTGCTAGTCGTCAACGAGATAAGTCAAATAAAGAGTATTGAAAACATGAATATATTCTGAAACAATTTTTTCTAAAGCGGAATCGAAACAAAAAAATAGTTCAGATTCATCTTTCGAATAAATCAATCATCGAATGTTTTTAAATTTTGTATGAGCACAATTTAAAATCAATTTCTCGATTTACTAAAAATTTTCAAATAACAATTAGTTAATCATGTCATATCGTTCTATGTCAATCACTTATAATCTAAAACAATGGCTTGATTTTTTTTTTTAGAAATTTTATTTTGTTTTTGTGTCATGCAAATATAACATTTGAAAAGAAAAAGACATTTGAATACATAAGGATAAAAATAAAATCACTTGTATGAAAAGTTTTTCAATAGCATATTATCAATTCATACACGTGACTATAGCATAAAACAAAGAAATCTGCAATCTTTTAAATGTTTCAATCCATACTTCAAATTTCAGCAGCACACCAACACACAAAGATGAATAATTTATACAGTGAGATTTTCTCACATAAATATCAGTGATAGCTCTACTACGAATATTTCTTCTGTTTGTTTTTCTGCTAATTTATAAACGCACAATACGATTTTCTGATGTTAAAAGTCCAACACGTATGTAAACATCAGTGCCGATACCATACATTGTTTCAAATGTTAATGAACCATTTAAATATTCACAATAAGCGCGTGATGTTGGTACACCAAAACCATATCTAAACAAAAATTATTAAACACAGAAAAAATTCCTTTTCTTTTTTTTGTTACCCGCTCATTCTATGTTGACTATTTCTTTTTGTAAGTTGATCATATAAATGATTATCAAAATCAGTATAGGATAATAATGATGATTCATTAGATACATTATTTGATGAAAAATGATAATCATGTATTTTATTAAGTAAAGATCCTGGCATACCACCACCACGATCTCTTACTCTAATAAAAACAAAAATGTCTTAAATATAAACATATCAGATGTTGGCAATTTTCAATTTCAGCAAATATTTTTCTTTTGACGTTTTCATGTCATGATTGGATAGAATTAATTGAGTATTGTTTTTGACATACTTAGAAAATGTTCTAGAAAAATTAGATTTAAAAAAAAACCGGAAAAATTGAAACACACTAAGAAAAACATCCAATTTCGATAGTCTCAATATTTATTCGAATATGTTCTTTGACTTTAATGATGTTATGCCTAGAAAAAAAATTATGCGTGCTTTTTGAAGAAAATCGATTGTTTCGATATGATAGTAAAACGCAAAAAACTGCACGTTTGTATTTTAAGTTCAGAACCTCAGTTGCAGTTGAAATGAATATCAATATTCAACAGTAGCATAAAAATCTGCAGCGAATAATGTACTCATACTATTCGATAAAGGTTTTTCAGCAGATTCTGAATATAATATTCGTTTTGCCTGGAGCTGAAGTTTCGATAGCCAAAAACCTTAGAATACAAACCTGTATTTATGACAAAACGATTTTCTTCAAAAAATAAGCAGATTTTTAGTTCTAACTCTATGACGAGTAAAATCAAAGAAAGAATTCTGTTAAATATTGAGAATAACAAGACTTAATGATTTTAGAATATTTAAATTTTACTAATATATTTTTACCTCATTTCCCCAAAAATATCTTCTGAATACGTCAAAAAAAAACATTTTAATAATTACGTAACGAGTTCTAACCAATCATGTCATAAATATACGAAAAGAAAAATATTTGCTAAAATTTCGAATTCCTGACATCTGATATACAAAGAAAATATTGATACCGTATTAGTAGTTCATCATCATTAACCGATATAGTGACACCAACGCTTGGTAAATTTTTACCAGAATTTTTATGATATTCAACTGTAGCTCTAAAAAAGATAAGATTAGTAAAAAGATTTTGGCTTCAATTCAATAACTAATAATCTGCTGTTCAGAATAAAAATAAGGCACAAGTCGATCTTCGGAGAAGCGTCATTTCTTTGGTTGCAACACTGAAACTAAGAACAATTCTACATTCAATACTCACCCTTTATTTCACTTGAATTCTTTACAACGATTTATTTTTCTGAATCAGTTCTTTTAGCATAGAAATATGTAAAAATGTTTGCTCTTTCAGCTGACTTTTTTTTGAACTAAAATGTATGAAATAGGTGATGATTTTTCAGAATATCTTAACTAGAGCTCATCAAATCTAAAATTGTTGAATCCTGATCTAGGACTAACTCGGCTGCCTTTAATCTTAACATACATGGAGCATAAAAAAAACTAACTCTTGAAAAGTTCATTATCCTTAGAAACATGCATTTTAATTTTGTGAAGTCATGTCACTAATGAATGATTTTTACTCATATACAACGACAAAAAAGTCATCTATAAAGTGTCAACCAAAAAAAGAAAGAGGAGAATAACAAATGCATCCAGTGTTCCAAATTACTTGTGACCAAAATTCATCCTACCTAAATGCATTTTTAAGCATTTCAGGTACAATATAACTAAGTGGCGTTGTTATATAAGGAAAAGAACTATTCACATGTCCATCAATTGTAACATCCGGTGCAATACCATATGTCGCCCGACATACTTCCCTAATTAAGAAAAGAAAAAAAGGAAAAGATTGAATGAAATATTTTTTTTCTCCTTTCAATTAACTCACTGAGCATATTCAGCTGATGCTTCAATAAGCTTTTTTGGTGAAAAACTCATACAAATAACACCAATATGATTAGGCTATACATTAAATTTTTTTTTAAGTATTGATTTTAATTTTTTTTTTTGTGTTATTTACTTTATCGTTTCGTAATTCAATGTGATGTTCAATTAACATTTTAATAGCTAAACGAGATGTAAGTGCACGATCAAGAAAATTTCGTACAAACATTTCTTGCTAGAAATAAAATAAATCATTGAATTATTTAATTAATTATTATTACTTTGATATGCTGTTTAGATTTACGAAAACCTTCAGCTAATAATGGTAATGTATCTGAACTACAAGTAAGTGTATTTTGTAATAATTCTGTAAAATGTTTTTCATGTTCAAGTGTTTTAATCTGAGAAAAAATAAATTATTAATTTTAGACACAAATTAAAAAAAATATAATGTTTTCAATTCTTATTACCGATGGAAATGAATGAAGTGTATGAAAAATTTTAATAAAACGTTCATGCTAAAAATTAAGAAAACTAATTGAAAAAAAAAACACTATCAATAAATCTACCAATTCTAATAGAAGTGGATTACATGCAACAACAAATGGTAAATTTCGAAAATCATTAATACGATGTGCAAAACGTATAGGTAAATCTTTATGTAAATATTGAGCTGAACGCTATAATAGAAAATTATTTATTAGTAATTTAAAAATATTTTTATTTTCAAACATACTAATAGATGTCCACCATCCTCAGTTTTTCCAATGTACATCATTGTTAATGGTGAAAGACGAGTTGATTGCTAAATTGAAAAAATAAATTTGTTGTTTTTTTTTTCAAGAAATAATTAAATAATACTTTAAGTGCAAATTGTTCAATAGCAGTTTGACAATAAAAGGATGTAACAGTAATATTTGATAAATATTGATCATGAACTTTTTTTTCTGTTGATGATTTAGAATTTTGATTATCATTTGCTATATTTGTTTGATAACGAACAAAAGATGATAATTGAAATGAATATCGGTAGAATTTATTACATAACATAATTGGTTCGAAAAGAAATGAAACAGTCGATTAATTATAATTACTAAAGAAAAAATGATCAATCGTTCTTGTTGTGTTTCTTTGTCATTATGATTGGTATCACTAGAAGCACCAATCAAATGTTGATATACAAAAGAAGACGAAAGTTTTGATATTCAATGTATGGAATGTCGATAAAGTACACATGGTATTTCATAAGGAGGACCAATCAAGATGAATATTATCAAAGCTTTCATTTTGATTGAAGAACTAATTATAATACTTAGAATATCCAAATATTAAACTGTATAGCAGTATAACGAGGTCGAAGCACATGAGGAAAGTATGACTCAACGTAATAGTGCTTCGAAGCCATGGATGTTGGCTCGATGAATAACATATTGTGGATAACTTTTTGAACTATAACATGATATCTCCATCTTTCTGAGAAAGTGTGGATGCAACGGTGACGACGACTTCAAGGTTCTGATAATTTGATATCATTCATTTTGACATATTTTCTTTAAACGTACAAACCAAGAATGAAATATATAGATATATTCACATAAAAATATGTACGTAGTTTTTAATTTCTATTTCTATTTATCATTGAATATGTTAACATATTGTGAAGAACAAATAGGCAAAACTTTCGCTTTTTTTTGTATTTGTTTCTTTATAGATGTATTATTTGATAATCAAATTTACCTTAGTGTTCACATAAAATTTCATTATTGGCTTTTTATTTTTCATTTATGTTTATCTATCAAGAACTAAATATAGTGATGGACTAAAGTAAAGTTTTTAATATTTCTTTTCCATTATTTAGATAGTTAAAAAAACGGACTACTAAAACAAATTCATCATTAAAATTTGCACTCATTAGTATGAAAATATGTTTACGAAAGACAAGTATCATCTGTTCATATTTAATTCATAATTCATCGGAGTTTTTGTAACATTAATTTATATGAATCTGCGGGTGTGGATTTTGGTTTGTATGTGAGTTTGAACGACAAAGATGAAACCCAAATGGGAAAAGAGTTTCTTATTTTCAACACGACACTTTTTTTCATGGTGTGAATAATTAAATTATGATTGGAAGAATAGAAATTAATGTCATTCAAAATGTGAATGCTAGGTGTAATTGCAATTTGGAGAAATATCAACTCTAACATCATCCCCTGGGGGTCTGCACGAATTCTAGCGAGTTTCATTTTGTTGTTATGTTTGAATAACATTAGATCGAACCGCGTCCTTATTATATATGCCTTAGTGAAGGTTAAAAAAATATGTTGATAACATCAGTCAATCAAATCCAGTAATTGTTGATGTGATGCAGTAGCTCAAAATGCATCTGAGGACATCTTCACTAACTAGCGTCGACATGGATCCCAGTCGATTTTTTTAAAAATTGATACATTTTAGCATTCGATCGAACCATGGTCCTTTCACTATGCATTAGCGACGGGTAATAGATTACGTGAGTTACATCGACAAATCATTTCTACTTGTTGTTGCTGAGATATAGTGGGCAGTAGTGCTCATGAGTGCTACTTCTGCTATATATATATATTGAAACGTCATAGAGAAGCGAAAATACAAGATTGAAAAAAAGATTGACTACAAATAAATCAAATCATTTACTTTGGTGTTTGTTCTTCTTGTGATACAGTTTGCTATATATTTTCCAAAAGTTTGTGAGACTGATCATAATTTTGTACATTATTGCTGTTTTTTCGGCCTGAAGTCCGCACAGATCTTAGATGGAAACCAACTACTATTTCATAGGTGTGATATGAGAGTTGATGAACAAATAATTATTCAAATATCTTTGTAAAGTAATAATGAATAATCAAATGAATATTTCTTGTCTAATGCATGACATGTGTTTATTTTACTTTGATAAATTCTCTCATGTTATGCAATATTTTATGACAGATGTCTACAATAAAATATTACAAGAAATCGATAAATTATTTGATACATTTAATCAAGATTTAGAAATTTATAAATAACAACAATCAATAAGAATAACAAAATAAAACAAATTATTGATTATTGGAAGATGTTGAACAATTATCAATACTTATTTAAATGCCACTAGATTATTTGCCAATATGATTGATTATTAATTGTTTGATTTATGTGAAAAATATTTCAAGTTCACTTTATGATCTTTAAATACCTCATTCAACTGACATATTTGATAAACCTACTGTTTATTCAATATTTCGTCATTAGTTGTTATGATTAGTACTTTTACAATTATAGTACGGACTTCAATACGTAATGAAATTGTTATATATGATAAAAATGAACTTATTATATAAGATGTTGATAGTACTTTAGTGAGTTATTTTATTTTTTTCGATGATTGCATGAGTTTAGGATGGAAGTATTTTATGGTCAAACATATAAGACAATTTCGTATCAGATATCTCTTGGTGTTTCACACTCGAATGTGGTTTTTCTTTGAGTCTTATTTTATTGGTTTCGCAAATGTTGAATGAGATAAGCGTGTTTTATTTGTTGTCATGATCCAGAAGACATTATTCAACAATATAGGTCATTACTAGATCGGAATTTAGACAACACTTGTTCTAAAGAAAATTTAATTTAAAAAAGAATGGTAGTAAAATTTTGTGTATGATATGTCCTTTTGTTTTAGTTTTTTCTAACTATTCAATGTATTCTTGTTAATTCATCTACTTCACATTTAGATCTTGCTATTAAAAATCATAAAAATGATCAATTTTTCTATAAATCTTTATGAAATGAATTTAACACAGCTATTGGCTACGACTCCAAATCTTCCATTATTTTCATCTTAACAATGTGGTCGAAATATTGATCTTATTCTTTGTTAAACATCATTTACAAATCATCTTTGGTGATTAGTTATTTGTGGAAATGGACTTTGTGAACATAATCTATTATTTGTTGATGGTAAAACAGGAAAGTCAGAATTGATTACTCGGAATTGCAAAACTGAATACTTACATGTTAGATGAACAATATTTAATAGTTCAAATGAAAGATTTGACATTGAATTATGATATTAAATAACGTAGCGTTAGTAATTTGTATTAATACTTTTGATTGTATGAAAAAACAACATATTTGAACGAATAAATAAATAAAAAATTATCGAACGATGATCAATAGTTACGATACGAGGCAAGAAAAAAAGTCTAAGATAATTATTCGAGAATGGTAAAGACAAGGTTAAAGCAGATGATTAATAAGTATTTTTCAAGACATTCTTGTCTTTAAAATTTTAATGTTTGATCAAGAAAATGCTAGTATCGTTCTTTAAATGTGGCAAAAAAAGACAATCATATCCGAGAAATGAAAAATGCATCATTAATTGATGATAACATTTATTAGTAAGACAGCAAAGATAAACCAGTATGCAATGTCTCTTTTATTAAAATAATAAAATGTGATACATATCTCATTTTAAAGGTTAGTTACCGTTTGAAAACTTGACAATTTAATCTACTTCTATTTAAAATTCAAAAATATTCTCAATTTGAAAAGAGGATTTTAATGAAATTTACATAAAATTTTGTCTCTTGATATTACCACGACAGATTAAGATGTGGTCTGCTCAGAAGCACGAGCAATTAAATCTGCAACATTTGTCATCTCATATGATACCGAATGAAAGGTAGAGCTTTTATTATTTACTATGCTTTAGTGAATATGATTTTATTTCAAATAAAAACAACGAAATTTTATTTTCTTTTTAACCAAAATCCTATCTAAGTGACTTTCAAAGGTCATTGAATACTAATATAATCATGATGTCTTATATTTTGGGTATCTCAGCCATCAAAACATGCCCATCGACGGTCAAATGATAGTAAAAATGTAATCAGTGCTCTAATATTATTCATAATTCTTATGCAGTCTTTTTTTCCAAAAATGTTGTCATATTTGTTGAACATCAAAAGAAAAAATCTATTTTTAACATAACAAAAACCTTTTTTCATTTGACAACAGAGAACAAATTTTTGCTCATGAAAACATATGAACTATGGAATTTCCCGATGGATCTAAATAGACAAGACAGCATTCATTAAAAAAAATTTAACTTGCCGACTATGAGCAGTACGTGAGGTTCGTTTCCATTTTCTTTCTTCATTGGAATTTTCGCGGTTGATACATATTTTGTTTCATTAAATAGCATATGTTCCAACTCAGCTGACAGGAAAAAACAATGCTTTTTTACATTCTCGTAATTGATCCTTCTTTTCTCGTTGATGATTACTATCATTGTCATCGGAAATAGTCCATGAGACTGTTTCAGGCAAACAATCTGTTATTTGAGTTTTGATTGATTGTGATACTTGGCAAGGTGTAATAAAATTCATCATAATTAGGTAATGCTGGCTAAGATTATGGTTTGATCGTCATAAGCAAGCTACCACGACGTTTAGTTGTTTTGGCATGTTCAGAAGTATCTGAAAATCACTGGTATGATAGATTTCGGCAACGTTTTTTCGACGTTTCACATTGTTATTATGGCGCTTAAGACCGTTTACGAATGAATTCAGATAAAAATTGTGTAAAGATGAAATATTAACATAAAGAAAAGTTTATTGCTTTGAAAAAGAAAAGTTTTTATTATTTCTTGATAATGTTGATGATTGGACACTTGTGTTATGATATGATGAACTTGTTATAACAACAAGATATATGAGCTGTTAGAATCACTGTACTTTAATATAGTGACGATGAAGATGGCCAATAGTGACGTGGGAATAAGAAAAGGAAAAAAGATAGTCCATACATAAGTGCTTGACATAAACTATTTCTTTCTAAAAGATGAACGATCAATGATTTTGGAGGACAGAAAATATGTCTTGATCCGATGAGATGTCACATATAACTGGCATGTTTTCAAAATAGAGAAAGATAAAAGAAAATGTGGAAAAAGAAATAATATAAATTGTCCTATATAGTTCATCGGATATTGGCATGTTTAGTTCTCCTGATCATATAATTTCAGACCGTAATAACCAGTTATATTTCAAAAAAAAATGTGTATATATAACAACAAATACACATCATAAAATAATAAATTTGAAAAGTTTATCGTGTGTGAGTGTCGATGTGGGTATAGATTTAGTACTCATTGACACCCATACTCATATTCTGAAAAACTGTAGTATAAAAATAGTTTCAATCGTTTTTTTGCTTAAAACGATTTTTTATTCGCTACTTCTGATTCATCTGTAGTTGCATAAACTTGAAAACTAGCTGAGTATTTTGTATTAATTAAGATTACATTACCGCAATCATTATAATATTTTTGAGAATTGTTAGTTAACGTCTAGTTTTCTCTGGAGAAAAGCATCGAAGTTATACTTTTGTACTATATTCTTCGTCGATTGCTCGTTTATTTTTCCTGTGTCTTCAAAATTTTTCTAAAATTAAGATCTGATACTGATTAGATTCTGGAGGTGCAACGGTAATGATATCCGATCCTAATTGATAACTATTTCACTTGTGGTAGTTTAAAAGGTAAATGATATAAATCTGTATAAGGTTTATACTGGTTCATACAGGCTTAACCCAGTTTATATAGTTTTATACCGAGTACCTTTGAAATGACCACTGGTGGAGCCGTTATCGTCATCGTTGCATGGCTAGATGAGAAGATAGGTAACACATAAAATGGAAACCTCAATTTTGATGGTAAAATTAGATTTTGACCCTCGCTTTAAGAATTCAATAGATGCTCTTTGTTTTGCTACCGATCAGGATTTGTCACTTTACAAGCATTTTCGCACGTATCGAAACTCTTTTCAACGATATGTTTTGGAACAGACAAATAGATACAACGATGGCATACGCCAAAGTATAAAAGATCCTACCTGTCGTGCTTGTCGTATTGCTGGCAATTCTTGTTCCCAGCACAGAGCCAAAAATGATTGCTACTATGGATACCATAATCAATGAACATAATGGAATGATGAAACTTTTCTTTCTATACCATGACCGTCTTAAACAGTCATTGTTTTATCAATACAAAAAATCGTACAGTAAATTGAGCTATATAAATATGTCAAGCGTTAGATATTTTTAGGCCAAAGTTTCTCTTAATGTTTCACAAAATGCGTTTTCGTTTTTAAAATAGTTCACTACTGATCATCGTAAATTGTTTGAGCAAGCATTTTATAATAAGCTCCACGTCGCTGTATCAATTCTGTATGAGTACCACTTTCCACTATACGTCCATTGTCAAGCACACAAATCAAATCACATGAACGAATAGTTGAAAGACGATGTGCAATAATGAGCGATGTTCGACTTGGATCTTCCATTTGAGCTTGTTCAAGTGCTTCTTGTACAATCTATAATTGTAAGAGGAAGATGAAACTTTAATTGATAAACAGAAAAAAACAATACGAATAAACTTACTTGTTCATTTTGTGAATCCATGGCACTGGTAGCTTCATCCAAAAGTAATACTTTAGGTCGACGCAGAAGTACTCGAGCAATTGCAATACGCTGCTTCTCACCACCTGACAGAAGACTACCTTTCAATCCTACTTTCGTTTCATAACCCTGGAAAAAATATAATACAATAGTAACAAATACATTATGTAATTTTGTATTGTTTAACCTGAGACAATTGGCCAATAAATTGATGAATATTAGCTTTACTTGCTGCATCAATAATGTCTTCTATTGATACATTTTCTAAGCCATATGCTATGTTTTCAGCAATGGTTAAATCGAACAAAATTGGTTCTTGACTGACAAGACCAAAATGAGAACGAACCCCATGAATGTTTAATTGTCGAATATCAATGCCATCAAGCAGCTATATTGATTGGACAAATTTTATATAATTATTTAAACTTTAAGGTAAAGATATACTAACTAGTCGACCACTAGTAACATCATAGAATCGTTCTAATAGTTGTATTATAGTTGATTTACCACATCCAGATGCACCTATACGAATTATATTATGTAACTCGTATCTGAAAGAGACATTTAACTGAAACATACCAACAAGAGCCACACGTTGACCTTATCAGTGAACAAAAAATATTAATAAAATGATTGAATCAAAGTTTATCTCGCTTACTTGGTTTGATATTCAATTGAAATTTGTTAAGAATAATAGATGTTGGTCGAATTGGATAGATGAATTTAACTTGATCAAATTGTATCTCACCACGAAAGTTAACCTATATGAATTATATGATATTTATAGCATGTGCATGATTACAACACAATAAGTTGTCTTTCATATTCTTTTACCAATTCATGTTCTTCATTAAATGTATTGTCCATAGCTGGTTTTCGATCAAATAAATCAAAAAATGCTTCAGCAGCTGATATTGATGCAGCAATACGCCAAGATCTAGAATGATCACTGTAGAAGGAAAAAAAGTAAAGTTAGAGATTGAAAGTGTCACTTTAGTCCAACAAGTCTTAGTGCTTGAATCGATAAAGCAACAAGAGAACAGACTCTAAAATATTGCAAAGATATTGAAAACTTATCTCAGGATTATGAAAATGCGGTTTAGATGATTACATAATAACACTGTTCGACGTGAGTTCGTTCTTTTCGACCAAAGCGAAAGCACGCCAATACATAAATGCCAAAGTATATGTATCTAATATCCAGAATGTACCATATGCTATTGCAGATAGTATCAAAAATTTCCAAGACAATCTATGACAAAATAAGATTGATTAATAATTGTTGAATCTATAAGACTCGATTGACTAACATATGTACTTCATAAATAATTTCAGAATATTTTCGTAATACTTCTTTTTCTGCGGACAACTGTTTAATCGTGCGCATGTTGTGAATAACTTCAACAGCCAACTACCCAAATAAAAGAAAGAATAATTATGGTGTATTTGATTGAGGATTGGACAACAACTCGATCGGAGACCAAAATGATAATTTCAAGCGTAATAATGACATTCGAATCAGAAAGGACTGTTACCCCGACACGAGATATATTTCTACGAAAGACTATCATCTTAATCAAAAAAACTATATAGTCATCTAGACAAATGTCAATTCGTCTAGGAAAAAGTATTTCACATAATAAAATTATGACTAGATGTACAAAAAAAATGGTCTAGAATATTCTCTTCTCTCATCCAAAAACTTTTTTCGATTTTCAACTTTTCATTTCTAAAGATATATTAAAGTGTACTGTATCAAGTGCTGTAAGAATCAGACCTACGTCAACTAGTATGGGTTCTGAAAAAAACTTAGTGTCGAGAACTCTTCTCTGGAGAAAGCTTATGTTTTCTAGGTAGCAATATTGTAAGTTTTTCTTATTCACTAATTTCATGAATACTTCTTAGAAACAACTCTTTATATTCATATTCGACGCGCGAGAAATGATAATCTTTAATAGTTTAAAATGACCAGAAGAAGAAAAAGATGTATGTGAAAAGAACGAAGTATTACTTTGTTTTGCGTTTTCCTCAAATATCTTTAAAAGAAAGAAAAGCACGCAGCTCGAGTTAACCCTGGTTGTCATGAAACAAGTTGCACCTCCAAAAAAAGTTGTAGCATAGTTTTTAGGAAGATACAACAATTATGGCAATTTTTTGCATTGGAAATCTCTATATATCCCTGAAGGAGGCATCGAGAAATTCTGAGTCTATGATAGGTTTTGTTCTACTTATCGAGAGCTATGTGCCTTCAAAGTCTCACTGTTTTCCGTCGAACCATTCTCAAGAACCCACGAAAAAGAGGAAAATTCTCTTAAGAACTCATGAGTCGGACGTTTTCGTTGTGTTTCAACATAGCTCGTTCTAATGAAAATCATTTTTCTTATGTGTCTCTACATACATGCATCTCGGTGTCTCGACAAAGTCCATAGCAGACGTTCTTTTTTGAGTGATCCTTTCTCTGCAGTTCTGAGAGACGTCATATGGATATATGAATATGGATAGACAAGGGACATCTTCCTTTACAGTCACGTATATTTCCGCTTGAAATGATCATATTTTCCACCAATCAGAATATTGTTCGCTGTTGGTTTGGTTTATCAAACAATTCATGATAAAAGAACTTTCCTACAAAAACGCAGGTTGTCAACTAAAACCTGATCTTACCGCGCTTGCTCGCCCGAGAATTTGACCAGATTGTATCTTTAGCGATGTACGTAAGTACACATTTCCATAGGTAACTATGAATATGATAACGATAGGTACAAAGGTGATCATTGTCAACTGCCAACTTATGAAACATCCAAATAGAAGCCCAAAAAACGACACTGCGAGAGCTTCATAAATGGCTCCCAATTGTATACCAGCCATCTCTTGAAAGGACAATGCATCAGAAGAAAGACGAGCACAAATCGCACCTGAACTGTTTTCAGGTCGATCAAAATAAGCAACTTCTTGACGAAGAAGACATGCAAAAGCTTTCGAACGAATGCGTTGCGTCAATTTCGATCCTGATATGACCAATGCTGTGTACTATAGAAAACAGTCAATTAGTCATTTATCAAGGTTGGAAGAAGTATTTTCACCTGAAAGAAACGCAGAATCAATAAAACAACACCTAGAAGTAAAAAAAGAAAGCTGATAGTCAACACATGGCGACGACGTTCAGAGGTTGAACAATATTTGAATGCCTACACATAATAAACAAAGTGACATGAACCAATGTATATTGACAATCTTTTTGATCGATATTTCCTTAGGTGGATTACTCACGTCAACCGCTTTAGTAAAAAAAAATGCAAACAATGATTGAGCTGCACCACTCGCTACACATGCTATACAACCAACCAATACGGTAATCCATTCGGGACTATTCATTGATAAGAGTCTTAGTAAGACAAATGTCTCTTTGAATGACTTTGAACTTTGCTTTAAAAAAAGGCAGATTATCAATAATAGTTTTTATAAATAATTGCAGTAGTATTTATACTTTGTTCATATCAATCACTTGACTATCACTAAATAAACGAGAGCGCTCAACTATAAAAGAAAAAAGACAAAGAAAAGTAAAGATTATTACTATTAGAATGTTAACATACTTATAGATTTTTCCTCTTCTTCTGTTGCTTTTTGTATGCTCATTATATCATCTGTGTCATGATAGATTCTTTCTATTTGTTGACGTTTGACCATTGCTTGATATTTGCCTCCTTCTTTTGTCATTAATGTTTCAGGTGTACCTTGCTCAATCACACTTCCATTATTTAATACATATATTTGATGAGCATTTCGAATTGAAGTTAAATGATGAGCAATAACAATAGTTGTACGACCTGCACAATATGACATATCAATACGAAATACAGAACAAACCACTATTAATACCTTTGCATGCTCGATCAAGTGCTTCTTGAACAATTTTTTCACTGACATTATCAAGCGCACTTGTTGTTTCATCCAGTAAAAGGAAAGTGGGCTGTTTAACAAGAGCACGAGCTAATGCAATACATTGTTTTTCACCACCACTCAAGTGTATACCACGTTCACCAACAAGTGTTTCATATTTCTAAACAAGAAATAATGATACATTTACATGCATAAAGATAAACATTTAATACAAACATTTGCTAATTTCATGATGAAATTATGTGCATTTGCTTCTCGCGCTGCTTGTTCAATTTCTGCTCGTGTTGCATTTATTTTACCAAAACGAATATTTTCATAAATACTCATACCAAACAGAATCTATTACACTAGAGAATGAAAAAAGAAAAAAGCGAAAATAAAACATACAGGTTCTTGACTAACAACTCCAATTTTTTGTCGAAGCTGTTTGACATTGTATTCTGTTATCGGTCGACCATGAATCATTATTTGTCCCGATGAAGGTTCGTAATAACGAAGAAATAGTGATATGCATGTACTTTTGCCTATGAATACATTATGAACAGAAATAAGATCATTTCGACATTTTTGTTTTTGAAAAAGACTTGCCACAGCCACTTGAACCAACGAGAGCAGTTGTTTGACCAGCTCGGGCAACAAAAGAGAGATTGCGTAGAGCTGGTACATCTTTTCGAGATGGATAACTAAAGTTGACATTGTCAAATTCAATATCACCATTGATATCAAAATTTTCTTCTTCATTCTCCTTCCAGACATCTGTTTCATTGATACTTGCATCATTTCCCTACATTCATAAAAACAAATACAAAACATTGCTATCAATATAAGACCTCAATTTACTTGGAATTACCTCATCAATGAGTCGAAACACCGCTGCTGCTGCACCTCGAGCTTCCGAAAGTGATTGAAAGTCAGGACCAATATAACTGAAGAAATTCAAACATTGTGCAAAGATAGAGGTGACCTGAATTGCGATAGCAATAGTAGTCATATATTCATTTCCTTATTGACTAATTCTATGAATAACTCACGACAAGAATATCACTAATATTCGAATTGTGTTGATCCTCGCTTGGTTTAAGAAGAGAACCAAAGATAAAACCAATTGAATAAACTAAGTAGTTTATTAGAGATAGCCATCCAGAATATATACCAAACACTGCACCTTGACGTACACTACTCCAATGACTTGAATATAATTCTTTTTCATATCTTAATGCAATAAAAAAAACAACATATTTTATGATACGAAATAAGTAAACTATTGCTATGTATTTATTTACCGCTTTTGCTCAAAGTTGGTACCATTGAGAGAAAGAACCGTTCGGAGTGAACTAAACACTTCTTGAACAATTTGTCCTGCTTTCGAGTATGTCATTAACGCATTCATTGTTTCATTAGCAATCAGCTATGATAATTTATATAGATTTAATTGATTGAACAACAGTACATACCTTAGAAAACACAAATGAACTACAAAAGACTAAAGGTACCAAACATAGCATGATCAAAGTCAGTTGCCAGTGGACAATGAAAGACGCTATTAAACAACCAATCATGGTGAGCAACCTAGTCAACAATATCAAGAACTCAAAACCAATGCCTCTCTCGATCTTTCCAATGTTACTATACAAGAGTTAAATTAACTGTAGTTATTGGATAGCAAATATATCGTAATAGCTTACTCAAATAGTTTAGCATTAAGTTGGCCAGTTGGTTTGGTATCCACATAAGTAATGCTCTAAAATCAGAGAATGAGAAATAGTCAGAGATAAATAAATTCAATTGCATCTATGTTTTCCAAATTTCAATTAAACTGAAACTATATTTCTCAAAAATCTTACTTAACTCTGACAGTAAAAAAATCATGCTTCATGCGATCTGATTTTGATAGCTACAACAAGTCTCAATAAGAACTGAAATCTTGTTAGAGATTCCACTAGAATACTATCTATTATTATAGACAAACAATCACTAAAACTGGAAAGCGACATCAATGTAGGTTTTATTGTTAGACAATCCAATGCCACTACAGCTTCGATGTATAAAAGTGCCTACTCCGCGTTGAAGCAGTGCATCTATGGATACAATAAAGTCCTTTCTATGCATAGTCATCTAGGAAATAAAGAATACAATTGGTATAACAACATGAGTTCATTAGTGTTTCTAAAAATATCATTTTAAAATTACACTACCTAAACTTCAGTTTTTTTCAGGATTTCCAGTCATATTATTTCTAAAAGTGTAGTAGTAATGAACACTTCAGTCTACATCATTGTAAATATGTTATATGCTGAAGTTGAAAATATCTTGAAAGGCAATAACTAATAGAAATTGCGCTATAGAACTTCATAACGATTATATGTGTATGAGCTTAGAAGAAAACATGTGATATATCAGTGATTGCGAGGTTAAGAATATATTTCTACTGTTGTCTTGAATCTCTACTTCCAGACCTAGAACTTCTAGCAACATAGGCATCTTGGAATATTTATTACTTTTATCTAGACACTATAGATTATTTCATGGATTTGGTAGAAATGCTTATTTATTGATGGTGAGGATTTTTTGGATAAAGAATGAATATCAGATGCTCTAAGTTTATAGTAATGCTAAGAAAAGGCTGGTATTAAACTTTGAGTAATGTTTCTTTTGTAAGTGGAAGTATATTTGACTCACCCGTTGAACAAGGGATCGAAACAGAGAAGCACTCATACGAAATATCTGTCGTTTAACACTAATTGTCCAAATGAAATTTTCAGTCGAGCCAGCCAAAAATTCGACAGCACCAATAACTACATTAAGCGAGAAATAAAGACAATTTTCATTATATGGTACGATCAAATTATAATGTTCACTTCACTCACTGAATAACCAGTAAACTATGCTCATAACTTTTTCTTCGAATAAAGAAATTGGTGTGTCTAAGGTTGATGACAATATTTCAGCATTATTATAGAGTAGTCTAAAATTAAAAAAACGAAACCACAAGAACATAGAAGCATTACATAGTAACTAATAATCGTTTTTAGTGAGTTACTTATGCGACGAAACCGTGCTGAATGTATTAAGTTTGTTGCCTTGATGATATGTATTGTTGTTGTTAATTGGAACAATTGAATTTTGGTGTTGAGCATCACAAATATCACCAAATGATTTAATAGCAAATAATCCTATCAGCCGACCAAGTAGAACTTTCTTAGCAAGACTGCAACTGGCATGTAATAGTATCAAACACGAAGTAATGAACATTAGAACTAAATCGATACGATTTGCAAACCGAAACTACAATATCATCAAATGAATCGATCAGTATGAGTTTTTTGTAAATATACTTACTAATTGCAGAACACTAACTGCTTCATCTCTGTCAGTAGGTTTAGTATCATCACCATCATCTAATTTTATGTATTTATTATTGCTCTGTTTTCTGATGAAATATTGACGCCAATTAGAAAAACTAAGAACAATGTTGAGTTCACTCTATTTGTTTCAAAGTCAGGTATTTTATAAACTCATACCTATTGATCAAAAGTTGCTTTTTGTTTCCACTATTATCACCATTATCGTCACCATTAGACAATTTGCTTTGTGCGTTTAGCAAAGGTTGTCGATCAACCATTTTTTTCTCAATAGAATTGTGTCGATGTGGAAATGGAATCGTAAATGAATAAAAAGATTGAATCTACAATGGTAATTAAGAAAAAAAGAAAAGCTAATTTGTATTCAAATAAAAACGAAAGATGACCAAATCTTTTATTATTATTGAAAACAAAGCAAAAAGATTTCTTGTTTTCTATGTTGTCTCACAGTTTCCTTTTTTAAGTTTTTGTGTTTTACTGATAGGTTTTCAAATTTAAATAAGTTAAGCTAATTTTAAAAAAGAATAGGAAAGAAAAACAATGCAAGTATTCCATTTGAAGTGAAACAAGAAAAATGAACTTTGTTTTTTGGAATTTTTTGGAAAGAAGAACGATAGTAAATGGCTTTTTACAGAGAAGATACAATGCTGGGAAATTGATGAAATTTGAACGAGAGTAATTTTTTGAGAGAATTACGCATATTTTTTTGTTTTTATTTAGGGTAAGATAAAATGTTATACGATACGTGCAAATGGTCGAAGCGAAGCGTGTCGATTATTCTTCAGGTTGTATGACTAGTTACTCAATTTGTTACACCTGTAATCCATTTTTGTTCTTTTATTTATTCTTGTCCAATAATGTATTTTTCTTTTCTTCTTAAGAACTACTAATCTCATTGATGGGAGAAAGAGGTCGTTATCTATATCTACTATCTCATTCTAAATATATTCTAATTAAAAATACAATTTCAATGGTGTGGGTGTCGCAAAAGCATTCCACTCAAGGATAAAACAATTTCTATCACATAAAAAATAACAAAAATTGATATAACAATACAAATGTAAATGTTAATATAAAAAACTCGTTTAGAGAAACGAAAAACGCCCTACCATAAACGTTGTTCATGATCCTTGTTGATAACGATGAATCTAAAACGGAAAAAAGGAAAAGGGAGCATTTGTTATCTTAATCTTTCCTCATTGTAACTCTGATACTAAGGCTTCTATCGCTGCCTTGGATGGTTTCTTATGCACTAGGATACTCTTCAAATTATCTGTCAACCTATGAGTAAAAGAGGGGTGGACCATTTCCCCATTTCATAGAGAAACCGTTCCACTTCTTGAAGAAATGGTTTACCCTCAAATAGTTAAGCAGAAATTCTTTTTTCAACATCGAATTCCCCTTCAATACAAATCAATACTTCACTATATACCATAAGAAACGGTTATTTTTTAAGAGGAAATCCTTCATCCATATCTTCAGTTATAAGCAGAAATGGAAATAAAGTGTAGAGAAATGGATAATTAATTTTGATCCATTCCTATATTTATAAAGAGAAATGGATTTATTCAAGGAGAAGTCGATTATTTTATTTTCTCTCTTATATAGGATTTTCTAGCAGATATGAATTTTTTCCAGGAGAAATGGTTAAAATAGTTGGTGAAATGAGTTGGTTTTCCTTACGTTATTTTCCATCTTAATAAAAATAATCATTTTTTATATGGTAAAGATTGAGTTAAGATTCCTCTAGTTCTATTGCATTTTAATCAGAAAAATCTTTTTTTTTTTTCATTTAGTGGATATATAGATAGTTTTTCTTTATTTTTCATTCCATCTTGATGAAAAAAATCATTTTTCGCATCTAGTAGAGATAGAGGTAGTTTTCCTTTAATTTTATGTCGTTCTAATGAAATAATCATTTTTTTTTCATCTAATAGAGATAGAGTTAGGTTTTCTTTATTTTTCCATATAATAGATTATATGTATATATATATGTTTTTCTTTCTTTCCATTTCTCCTTGTTGAACCATTTCCCTCTGAAATAAAAACCATTTCCCTCTAAATTGAAGTATATGCACAATATCATATAATAGATTATATATATTATTTTTTTTTTCTTTCTTTCCATTTCTCCTTGTTATGCATGACTTTATGTGGGGTGAAGCATTTCTCCATAAACGGGAACAATTTCCCCAACGACTTCGTACTATTGTCCACTGGTGGAGTAAAAATAAATAGCACACTGCTAAGCAGTGTTTCCTCAATAATTTTCTGTCCAACTTGATGAAATCTTGACCGGACACGTTTTAAGTTAAGTGTGTAGGTAAAGTGGACCAAAATATCTTTATTGAATTTCATCCCGAATTTCTCTTTTAATATTTCATTCTATACCCAAGACCTCATCTCTAAATTCACCATGCTGTTCACTTAAAAGTAATTTTAGTGTACTTTTAAAAGATGCAAACACCCTCAAAGGAGGAACTGATAGCGTCAATAGATTGAGCTTGGTGAGTAGATTCTACAAACATCCAAGATGGTTGAATATGAGAATGATTTTCTGATACACACTGTTGTTTCTGACCTACGAACACTCATATCTGTCGACAGTAAGAAGCCATACTTGAGTTAG